GGCTCCCTCCGGCTCCCGCCCTGGCGTGGCGTGGGGGCAATTAGAGGTCGCTCCGGCTCGCGTTGCTGAGTGACGCCAGCGAGAGCCCGGGGGCGGGGAGTGCAAGTTTGCAAGCCGTGAGGTCTCCCAAAGGACCTGACCTCGGTTTCCTCATCTAGCAAACAGAGCCTCGTTATCCCGCCCTGACCAAGCGCGGGACAGTAGGTGGACGGGGCTTCGGTGAGCCCACGCTGGGGCCCGGGCAAAGGGGTCGCCGAGTGACTCCGGGGAGAAATGGCAGCGGCTTCTGTCTGCGGCGGGCCGCAGGGCTTCTCTGTGGCGGGGGTTTATAACTAAGAAGCAATGCTGGTCCGCTCAGTGCCGTGCTCCACGGCTGCTGAAAGAAAACGAGACCTCCCTTTTCCCCTAGACCCCGTCCCTCCAGAGGGCCTGCCGACAGGACTCTCCGGTGTCTTCCCAGACTGCTGTGCACGTGCACCGGAGCGTGCCGCCATGGCTTTAAAGACCCCACCACACACACAGAGGAAGGTCTCATTTGCTTCTGTCACATAGCTGGGAGTGGGGACCGCCTTCCGAACCTCGGCGCATAGACCTCCGCGGTTTTTAGCGCCCTCCGGGGCCCTGGGACCGGGCGGGTTCTCAGGGTCTGCCCAGATTTCACTAAGGCGACTGCGAAACAATGCCCTCCTCCCGGCGCGCAGGAAGGGACGGGCGAGCACGGGCGGGGTCGAGGCTCCACCTCTTGGCTCCCGGCGCCCGTCAGCCGGGGACTGAGCTTTCGTCGCGTCTTTGGGGCCTACGTGCGTCGCGACACGGCGGTGGGGCGGGCCGCGGCCGGAGACATGCCCTCGCCCCTCCGGGAGCCGCGGCTGCCACTCTGACCCCGGCTGAGAAGGCGGGTCCTCCAGAACCTTCGAGTCGCGGGCTAGAGCGGCCAAGCCGCGGAGCTGCGTCGATCTCCGGCTGGCGAAGGTTGCGTCACGCGAGGGGCGGGGCCGCCACGGGCGGAGGCCGGAGCCGGAAGCGGAAGAGGCTTTCGGAGCGGGGAGTGGGGCCTAGCCGCAGCCGGAGCCTGGGAGACGGTGAGTGTGGGGCCCGGGCCCGCGTCGGTGACGGTGGCGGTGGTGGGGTGAGTCGGCGGGGCAGGCGCTCTGGGTGTGGGTCCCCGGGCTCCCGGTTCGGTCTCTGCCTACTCCCTTTGGTTTTCTTCTCGGCGCATCTCAGGCCGCGGCCCCAACCTCTCACCCCTGACCCGCCGCTTCTCCCCAAGGGGGCGGTCATCGCAGACCCCGACCTCTCGATCCTGCGTGTCGGAGTCCGAGGCTAAGAGGCCTCTGAGGCCCTGCACCTGCCCGCGGAATAGGGTCGGGGTCCTACCTGGGATAGCCTGGAGGGGCTTTCAGACCCCCCTCCCCTTCCCCTGGCTTGAGGCTTGGTCCGCAGGCGACTTCTCCCCGAGCGTCTTGGAGTTTGATTCCGGCTCCTGCTGGCCTTCCCCCTGCTCCTCCCTCCCCCAGGGTCTTCCCTAGCTTCTACTGGCGGCGGTTACGGGGGACGGGGCTCTGAGATCTCTGGGACCCGAGGCGTCAGGAAGGAAGGGTGAGCGAGGGCCGCAGGCCCCCCGCATATTTTGTTGTAATGGTGGAGCCGCTCCAGCCCGGGGGAGGGGCTAGGCCAAGCTGACATTCTGCTTCACGGTCCTGGAGTCTCTGTGCTTTAGTTCCGGGAGCGGGTGTCGTGGTGTGGAGCTGGGATGGGAATCGCCTGAGCCAGGCCCCCGTCGAGGCGGAGTTGGCGGCCTTCCAGCTTCCCACCTCCATGCCCTTGAAAAGGAGGAGCGTTTCTCTTGGTGGTGGCGGCTTGCAAGGTGGCAGGTTTGAGGTTGCAGTGGTGGGGCAGCGTCAGCCAAAAATAACCATGCAGCGCTGGGGTGGCTGGGATTCCGGAGGACAGCCGCTGACCTGGCTGGCTGCTCTTCTTGTCAACCCGGTTCTCTGGCCAGGAACAGCGGATGAGAAGACGGATAGGCCTGTGCTCCGAGAAAAGCTGGCATCCTCAGCCTGGTTTGCTTCACATTACCTTTTTCTTCATTGTGTAGAGTAGAGCCTTGCAGAGCACAATTGTGGCCCTTAACTTTTAACAACCCGTTTGCAGGGGTCTCAGAGAATCGGAGATAATTGACGAGAAATGGGCCCTAGAGCCCTAACTGGGAAGATAACGAGGGGCATCTGGTATTCCCAATATTCCACCTGCCTAGAATGTGTTAAGGGAGAGATAATCTCTATGATTGCCTTGTATGTGATATTTTACAGTTCTTATGCTTGTCATCTTCTCTGCCAAGTTGGCTGGGAGGTGGTGTCATCTCCATTTTCCAGGTATAGTAACCAAGGTCTAGAGTGACTTGTATAAGGTCACGAGGTCAGTAAGTGGCAGCAGTGGGATTTGGTTCAGTTTTCTACCTAGAGCTCTCTCCCTTCTGGTCCCTTGAAAGGGATTTCTAAAATATCCATAATGCCCTTAAGGCATTTAATACCCACAGAGATGTTACCTGAAACCTAATTTTTGATGTTGTTAATGAAAAGCTGTGTTCAGTCCTGTTGTGGGCCCAGACCTGTGCTAGGCATTTTACCTCAAGGCAGGTACTAGGCATGTTACTTAAAGGAGTGAAATAATTTCCCCCTTACAGAACCATGTAAGAGATTACTATCCCCTTGGTGCAAGAAGAAGCTGAAGATTAGAGTTGTTTAGTAACTGGCCTAAAGGCACACAGCTAGAAGTGGCAGTGCCAGGATTCAAATTGACATCGGACTCTGACGCTGTGCTCTTTTCACTAACATTAGCATGTGTGTACATAAGAATCTTCCAGGTTGCAGGAGGGAGTCTTCGGCCTGGTGCTGACTAGACTGTGTCTTCCAGCTCTGGTGCTTTGCCTAGTGAGAGTGGGCAGGGCCTTTGCCTCAGCTACTGGAGCATCTTCTGTGTCACTTAGTCAGATGTGAGATACTGTCTTCGTTCCATAGCTCGGGCACCTGACCCAGCGTAATTGCAGGGAGACAGTGAAACATTACTCAGCTGACCACCAAAACAGAACAGCAGTCTTAAGTTCTTGAGGAGCTGTTACACGTATTTATTGCCAAGGATTGCTGGGGCCTGAACTTCCAGGTAGACAGCAGAGGACATCTGCTGGGGGGAAATTGAGGACATTGACTTTACCAGGATCATGGAGAAGCTCCCAGGGGTTTTGTCAAATATGCCTCGCTGCCCTACTCCTCTAAGGAGAGCCATTCCATCCTGCTTTCCTCCAGACACACCCTTCTCATGAGATGGAGCAGCCTCAGTGGATTTGTCCAAAATGTGCTTGATCAGGCACGCCCAGGACTGACCACCATTGGAGGTTGGCTATGGCCAAGTGAAGGGTTGGTCTGGTCATGGTCTCTGGCCCAGCCATCCCATGGAGGCAGTGTCAGGGTTTGGGGTGTGGAGGGGAACAGGGAGCTGGCCTGACTTAGCTGTCTTTCTCGTCTGGTGACTGATCCGACTTGGCAATTTCCTGGGGTGGATGTAAGTCCCCACTGAAGTAGGGATAGTGAGGCCTGCCTCCCCAAGCCACAGCCTGCCAGACAGCCAGCCTTCTGGCTGTTCCGGAGATGGGCACAGGAGAAGGTGCTGGAGCAGGGGGTCTGGAAGAGTAGACAGTAGTGTCCTGCTGGATAGAGCTGAGGCCCTGCCCAGCATGGCACTGGTGGCAGGTCGTCTGAGGGCGCTAAATAGGCCTTGGGCAGGAAACTTGGATGCTCTGAGGACCCTGACATCTTCACTGATACTGAGACAACGTATGGACCAGCAAGGCTGTAAAGACCCCTGTGTCTGACCAGACCCTCGGGTCGGCTAGGGAATGTGTGTAGGACCCTGTGCACCTCTTTCCCCAAGGGCTGGCCTTCTTGTTTCTGCCTGTGGTTCCTCACACTGACTTGTGGTCCTTGCTCCCTGGAGTGGGGTCCAGTTCAGGGCCTCAATCAGGCAACTTAGCCTCTCAAACTCAAGGACTTTCACCCCGCTTTTGTGGGTTGGCTCCCTGCCAACAGCCTTTTGACTCTGGCCTCTGGCTTGACAGCAGGCCTTCATAGGACCCCACAGACAGGGAGGAAGGAATTAAGCAAAGGAGGCTTCCCCTTCTCCTTGGCCTTGGTCTCCTGTGATGGTTCTTACCCCCACACACACCTGCTCTGCATTCTGCCTCAGCACCTGTCCTGGCTCTCCTGGTTCCCTGAGTGCTCAGGCCACCAGGCCAACGATGCTGTGCTGGGGAGGCAGCTGTTTGTTTGTTCACTGGTGGAGAAGGGTGTTACCCATTGTCTGCTGTTTGACCAATGTGACCTCAGAGTTCTTCACTTCATAAACCCTTGGGAGGGGCTGCCCCCAAACAGAACAATGAGCCTCTTCAGGAGCACTTAGGCTGCCAGCTGTGACTGGCGGTGTGTTTAGCAGAGCTTTCTA